CCCCATTCATTTTAGACCACACAAAGTGTCCATTCCTCTTTCAGTTGAACAAGTTCACTCACTTTGTAAAGGCTCTTCTTGTGGCTGGTCGTTACTCTTACTGTTCCTTAACTTATTACTGGAAAGGCTAAAGTCTGAAAGGTAATTAGTTAATCCAAGGTCAAGTCTGGGTAAGCCTGAAGTTTAATGTTTGCCTCTGGCTGGCTTTGTTCATTCCAAAGATATTTTTGTCTTCTCTCATAACAGGAGTTCTACTTCCTTAATGATTGTAAGTTTGCATGGATTAGATAATTATTTGCCCTTCAGAGAGGTGGACATATGCCAGATTTTATCTTGACTCTCCTGCTGATCTGTTAGCTGTCAGAGTTGTTCTGTAGGCTGGACACAGTCATAGGATGGATTAGAGAACATCTAATAGTTCTAGTAATGAGTAGGCAGTAATGCTACAGAAATGAAAGGTGATCTATCATGGAACTATCCTAATATGAAGCAATGTTCCTATGATTTCCCCCACCCCTGAACATTATAGCAGTGAAAAGGTTATACATTCCATCACCTGGCATTAAGCATTTGAGTGAGAACTCCTTTTTGTTAATACCAAATAATCTATAGTTGAAAGTAGAAATAAATGTCTGTGGATCTAGCGTCACCACTGAAATTTGGCTTAAAACAAACTTCAAATATAATTTTCCTGGGGGAGAGTCTTGTTTGGGCAACAAAACTGAGAACTATAGGGGAAGCGAAAAAGGTGATTTGGGGTGTGGGGACCTAGAATCTCAGAGGAATCGCATTCCTAGATCATATTGTCTGGGTCATTTTATCTCCTATAGCAGGGCTGGGAAAGCTTTAGCCCAATGGTTGATTTAGGCTCACTAGGCCTTATGGGCTGGCCTAGCCAAGCCATTTGGGGTACACTTGAATTTTAAAACCAATTCTTTTTAATCTAACACCATTTCTTCTCACCGTTCACAATGAGAGAAAATGCATATTGTATGGAGAGATGCATAGGTAAAGGTATGGCCGACTCTGGGGTTGCAGCACTCATCTTGCTTTATTGGCCGAGGGAGCCGGCATACAGCTTCCGGGTCATGTGGCCAGCATGACTAAGCCGCTTCTGGCGAACCAGAGCAGCACACGGAAACGCCGTTTACCTTCCCACCAGAGTGGTACCTATTTATCTACTTGCACTTTGACATGTTTTCGAACTGCTAGGTTGGCAGGAGCAGGGACCGAGCAATGGGAGTTCACCCCGTTGCAGGGATTTGAACCGCCGACCTTCTGATCGGCAAGTCCTAGGCTCTGTGGTTTAACCCACAGTGCCACCCGCGTCAGAGAGATGCATAGAAAACTATATAAAATGTGTGCATTACATAAAAAGTGTGAAAACACAGACATGCAAATTACAAAAATAGACTTTTCATACATTCTTTTAAAACATCTGCACAAAATGGGGTGGGACTGGTCTCTGACTGAGCACCAATGAAACGGGAAGAATTAGGCAGCTCAGTCCATCCCTAGTCCCATGAGGAAAGCATAATAGGAGTCCATATTTTTGAGTGTGTGGTGGTGCATGTGCACTACGTTAAGGTTAATTCAAAAAAAGGTTGTCTACGGAGCATTATTTCTCCAGCTTGCTATTTGCCAATATTAAGTGTATCTATAATTTATATCTGCTTCCACGTTTCTTCCAGATTTTCTCACTTCAGCAGACTCTAGTTAACCACCCCTCTACACTTACCAATATTAGCTGGGGAGGGAATCAAAGGATTCCTACGTCCTTGGAAAGTCTCTCTTACATTGCACCTGCATTCTGTGTATTCTGGCTTCTAGGTCTCCTACTTCCCCTGTAAGCATTGCTCTTTATTGCAAACACCTTCCTTGGCTCTTGTGAATGGTCCTCATAAAAAAGAGGAGGACAGTGCTTCAGTACAAGTAGCCAATTCACACTCTAATGTGCTTCTTCAACTTTTCAGAGAGCAGCTATCCTGCTGTTCATGTGAGAACCAAGAGCTCTGTGCTTGATCCTGGCTGACGTCAAGGTTTTCACATTTGATAAAACAAAAGCTGAAAATTGGCAAGATTATGGGCCTCGATCATTTGGAGGCATTTGTGCACCAATGTAAATGGACTATAATTGCACTCAGGGATCTCTTGAGACACAGCTGGTATAACAAGGGCCAGTTGGTACCTTACTTAATATTTTACTACTTGTGGGACCTGCGAGGTGTTACTTTCAAATGCATTTGCTGCATTCATTTATCCAGATACATGCAGTGTTTGTGCAACAGATTCAGCTGCCTCCAGGGTTATGTGACGCTGCATTCAAATTTTGCACGAGCTTGGGTGATACATCCATGCATCATATGTATTTCTTTTTTGTGTGTGGATGGATTCGCATTCCATCCTTCAATAAGTATTTCTAGGCTGGTTGGTTCACATAAATAAATAAATAAATAAATAAATAAATAAATAAATAAATCCATCCTTACATGTATCATCAGTAAGACAAAGAGGTCTTCAGAAAATGACATGTACACTGGTTATGTATGATTATTATTATTTTGTATTCTGTATTTTATATTTCAAGCTGTGTCAACCTATATTTAGTCATGTGTGGTTTAGTTTCCAGTCACGTTTTACCCATGGTTAAAAGTGAGGGTGCAGTTGTGGTTCGAGGACCCGACCCCCGCAATGTGAAATGAATACGCAAGGACATGTGATCTAAGGTTAATGGGCAAGAAAAGGCCACAACTTTATTGATTACAGCAGTGAAAAGGTATTGGCTTAGGCATTGGATGTCTAAAACAAGGGGGTTTATTCACTAGTAGGTGGAGCCTGTTGATGCTAATCCAACTATAGGCTCACCCCTGATGTCACCGAGGGTCGTGCCATGGCCTCCCGCCAAGCAGGCATCGGACAGAGTACACGACCGCCAGATTCCTTTAACGGAATACCCAAAAATTGAAGGTGCAGGCGATGGCCACACCTAGCCCTTCGACACACCACAACACATTATTCCAATGCCTAACCTACCCACCAATACCACAAAAGTTGTGACGATTGCCACGAGGTAGGCAAAAAAACCAAAAAGCATAATGCCAAATGGAAAAATTCCTACCAGGCCCCCTGGACAACCAGGGCGACCAACCTAAGGTCCATAGCAAGGCCAATGAACTAAGACCCTGAGCTAAAAGAGGGAGTGGAGGGTGGGTGACTCGCGACGAGACAGCGGAGAAGAATGAGGCCGAGGAGAGGCTGGCACCGCAGCAAAAGGCTGCTGTAAATGCCCCCTTGGAGGCACCTGGTTGGATGCCTGCCGAGGGGCGTGGGCGCCAGCCAGGTGAGAGGAGGAGGCAGGGGGCTAACGCCCCCTGCTAGGGGCGGTGCTCGGGCTCCCGCCCACAACCACTCCCCTCTCTTCCAGGGAGGAGAGTCTTTGGAGAATAATAATAATAATAATAAAAAAAAAAAAAACAGCTGCATAACCATGTGGAAAAATAGTTGGGCTCACATACTGGGGGTGCAGTGGGGGGATCAAGCGGTGTTGAGTCAAAGCTAAAAGCGACTGGGGCTAGCCCTTTTCTATCTGTTACATGCCTCTCCCCCACACCTTTCCTTCCTCTTTGCTTTTCCTCTCTTCAGTACATATCCATGGACACATGCACTCACACTGATCCATCCACTCCCATTCCTCCACTTTCCTTCCATTCACACACTTCCCTTTCCACCATTCACACGCTTTTCTTCCATGCCTAGAAGGGAAGTGAGCCGCTAGGGGCAAGGTGGGGTCTTTTCACTGCTGGTAACCTCATCTTTCTTCTAGAGGAGATTGGCTGGTAAGAGACAAGGGCTGGGGAGTAGCAATGATGGTAAATCCTCTCCCCATCCCCTGTCTTCACCTCCCAGGTATTCTGGTAGCAAGTGCTGGTCTTACTGCAGTTGTTCCGTTTATTGTAATCGGACATAAATACAACAGGCTTTCTCTGGATTGGGGTATATTCTATGCCTTTAAGCTTCCTTGAATCCCATCAGGGAAAAGGTGGGGTATAAATAAGTATATAATAATTATTATTAGCAGCCTCAGAGACAGTAATGCTTCTGAATACCAGTTGCTGGAAACCACAGGAGGGGTCAAAATATTGTTCTATATGGGGAAGGGCCATAGCTCTGTGGCTGAGCATCCCAGTTCCCAGGTCCAATCCTTGGCATTTCCAGGGCTGGGAGAGACCACTGTCTTGAATCCTGGACAACTACTCATAGTCAATTTAGTCCAAGACTCCTATTATTAAGGGCAGGGCTATTTGAAAATGAAGGCCAGTTTAATAAATAAGTATTTTTGTTAAAAAATTCAACAGTTTATTTTTGATTTCATTAAGAACCCACAGATGATTGTCATCCACTATTTCTTACTTTTATGTTTAACTCCCAAATACCTTACTTTTCCGTCTATAAGACACCCCCATGGATAAGATGCCCCCTAATTTTGGGGATTCAATATTAAGAAAATGGGGAGAGATTGACCAGAATGGGAGAAATGCCAAAAAAAAGCTCACCCAAATTCCAATGTAACGCAGAAGCCTCCTATCCTATTTCCGATCGACACCAGCAGCCGCCAAACACACGCCCAATTGCCACAGTAGGGCAGCCATTGCCACAGCAGCGACCAATCGCAAGCAGACATTGCCGCAGCAATGCCCAATCACAAGCGGACATCCTCGCAGCAGCATCCAATAGCAAGTGGACATTACCGCTGCAACCTGTCACCTGCAATAATGCCAGTGACAATCTACTACTCAAGACAGAAATCATTTCCACCGTCCCCCCTCTGCACTACCCATGTATAAGATGAACCCAATTTTTAAGTGTTGTTTTAAGGTAAAAAAACATTGTCTTATACACGGAAAAGTACAGTATCTCCTACCATCACCGCTGTTTAACACTTTTTTTAAAAAAAAAAAGTTCAAATGTGAGCAGCTGTTATATTGAGATTATATACTCACATTTCTAATTTCTCAACAACTTCACAGTCTTCTCTAAGTGCTTCATCTTATACCTTTTCAACTTAAATGTCCTGATGCCTCTCTAGTGGCCTATAGCTTCTGATATATTCCAAGGCAGTCTCCAGTTTTCTTTTTAATGCCTTTGGTAATTTCAAAAATGCTTCCTAATTAAGATTTTGAGAATTGGACTAGATTCCCCTATTGTGACCCACCACGAAAATGAAGCTTTGCAGTTTCTTCAACTGTTATAATTGCAGGTTTAGCATGAGGTGATTGATTGCCTGTGGAACTAATGCTGGTATTTCCATGGAGTTTTGAGAAGAAGCAGTTAAGGCCTGGCTCACATTATTTACATATCATCTGGAAGGAGCAGGAAATCGGGGTGGTTCAAAGGGCACGGCTCACATTGCTTCCTCTGGGGCATTCCGTCAAAGAGGAACAATGTTAGACCCATGGAAAATTAAATGCCTGAATCATGCAAGAACAATGACACAACATGGAGCAGATCAGGGCAATGGAGACCATGAGAGGGATTTAGAAATGTGTTGTCTTGGCAGTCTTTCAGGTTCTTTCATAGACCTCCCATACAGGGATGGTATACTGACTTACAAGAAGGACGATGCCAGGGACCAGGAATCAGGTTCCTATTGATTGGGTGATGGAGACAAGAATTGTCGACCTGAAGGAGAAGGTGACAGAAGTCTAGCCTCAGAAATGCTGCTGTCAGATGGCATTCCTTTCACTTCATCATGTAGCAGCCCCCCACTCCACAGAAAAGCTCTCCTGGGGGCTGGGGAACCCTCCTGAGAGGAGTAGGGCTGCCCAAGAAGGAAGCATCTTCTGTGAGCATCTTCTCTGCCCAATTTTTAGCAATCTCCCCTCTCAGCATTGTTCACCAGAGTCCAACCTCACCCACAGAAAAAGCTTTTCAGAAAGCATGGGATAGGGGCTTCTACCACCAGCAGTTCTGGGAGTCAGGACCTAAATGTGCAAGACAACATCTTTAAAGTAATATAGCTTGTCCTTCAAACAAACTACTTCCCACTGAAAATGAAAAATGTAAATAAAATCAATGTGTCTGTTGTCCCCAACAATAGGAAATATGGCTGCTTCAAGCAGTTAGATAAAAGTAGATATTACTGCCTTCTTTCAATAAAGAGTTGTGCTCTCTGAATACGCTTTCAGTGTCTTTCTGCCACAGGCCTGTTATTCAGTCTGCTTTAGCTGAGTATTAAAGGATCCCTTGTTATACACCATCATAATTTTCGCATTTTGTATATGTGTTAGAGGAAACCCACACAGGTATCCTTTGATCTGTATTTTTATTGGTAATTTCTCTTCCCTCCCTCGCTTTCTCTGGCTTGTTATGCCATCAATGCCAATGAAAATTCAACTGCTTAGAGGAACAGGAAAGTGGCTGTTAAAAATTCTGGGAAGCAGGCTTCAAACAATGTTTCAGTTTTGGCTGATATTTCCAGAGGCAATGTTCTTAGGACCATTCATTATTACACAAAAGACTCTTGAGACGTTTTGGCTATCAATGATATGTTTTGGCTATCACTTCATTCTAAAATTAAGGTATGCCCTTTACCTGGAATGCAAGAGGCATCGAGTGGAATATTTGGTAAAACTTAGCATTTAACTTCTGTGATTTTTCAAGTGAAATGGATAATATCCCTCTAATCCTTTCGATTGTAGACATTTCAGAGATATTGCTTTGCATTTCAGTACTGGAAAACAACAGGAATTGTGCCCAGCCACTGCCTCGCATGAGCTATTAGGCCCAGACAGCTTTCCCTTGAGTGCCGATTGCTCTTTACTTCTGGAAGGCTGCCAGCAGGCAGTGGGATTGGTGGCAGGAAACTACATGTTGTTGCACATGTGAGTGTAGAAGATGCACTGATCTTCTGGACTGTGTCCTACTGATTACACTCAAATGTGCTCCTCCACTGATGGAAGGCTCTTTGATCCAGTAGAACTTTTTGTGAGTGAAAAGGAGGGAGGTGGAAAAGAAATTTTTTGCTGTTTCTCCCTTCCTTCTGTAGTCCTCTCTCACAAACATTGCATTCCAGATGGCTGGAAGGCCATTTGGAACAGCATGAGAGATAGTGGAGGGGGATACAGCTGCAAGGAGGAATTTTGCAAACATCACCTCCTCTCCCTTTCCGGTCAAAGAAACATCCACTGGATCAAAGAGATTTATTTCAGTGTAGGTACACATGCAGATACAACCCTGTATGTTTTACATCTCAGCCTTAGAAGTCACTCAATTTGAAAGCAATCCAACTTATATTTAAGAAATAAGTGTTTATTGAGCTAAGTATTTTGTTTCATAAATGGCAGTAGTGCTATTGATCACCACCATTTTTCAACATAACATGAGTGACTTGGTGCAATATTCACAAAACTTCAGCATCAGATTTACAATGTCATAAGTGGACCAACCAACTCAGAAACCCCCCCCCCCCAACAAATTTCAAATGTTATTCATGCCAAAGGAACATACACAAAATGCAGGCTTCAACTGGCATCTAAATACCAACAGGGGGTGTGGCTAAATAAGCCTCCAGACATAGGGATTTCCATAGGTTAGGTGTCACAACTAAGAAGACACTGTCTCTCTCTGACACAGTCTCTCTGGTGACAGAACACAGAGCAAATCTAAGGAGGTAGGTAGGGTCACGGTATGGTTTTGTACCATAACCCCTGAAAACAAGGCTATTTTTGTTCGGGTTCAGTTCCAAAACCCATGGAAACTGGCTGATTTTCATATATTAATTTGAACTAGTGCACCACTAATTTTTCTGCAGACTTCAAGTTATTAATAACAAATGTTTAAGCCAGCAAGATCACTAAGAGATGCTTCTGAAACAGGTCAAACGCTCCTTTCCGAAATTTGGGGTCACTTTCATGTAACTTACTGCCATATGCAAAGCGATGAACTTCTGAATATTTTGAAAAGGCACAGAACTTGATCTAAAATAATATAAAGCTCTTATTCTGTGAGGTGGTTGTGTGTGCCAACCTTACAAAGAGCCTCTTAAGCATTGTTAACAGCAAGAAGTAGTTAGTATAAAATACCAAATATTAACAGGTGATAGAGCATTTATTTGACAGATTGAATCAGGTGCCCTACCTCCATGAGAGAAAGTCACAAAAAGCTTAACTTGTTTTTAACTTTTTTATGATTTTATTGTCTAGTGTTATGTCTTTATATTCTCTCTCTCTCTCTTTCTCACACACAGAGTAGAAAGTATACATGTGCATTATACCTGGTGTTTCTCAGTGCTAACTCAGTAACTGTGACACCCAGTGGCAGCTCCTGCCCATTGGAGATGTTGGAGTGGTGGACAGGGCACCAAATGGCAGGCCTGGAGGCAAAGGGTCACAGGAGGACAATTGTGGGCATACATACAGGAGATGGAGCCAATTTGTTCTGGTTTTCCACCTGCCATCCTTGCTTGCACAGATACATATTTCAGGAATGTAATTACACTTTGTATAGAGATCCTCCATCCTGCATATAGATCCTCACCCATATGTGAGAGTTGTTGCTTGAAAAACAAAAACAACCCACCCCCCTGCCCCCCCATGGAAACAGGAATAGGAACTGCTCTTTGTGCATTGTGATTGGCTATGATGCACAGACACTTCTAGTGACTGACAGAAACCACTCCAGAGAGTAACTCAGATTTCTCAGTACATTTGAAGGCTATGGGTAGAGTATGATGGACAGGAAGAAGGTTATGCTATGCTTAGTGGGGGGGGTATTGATCATTTGGGGGGCATAGACATCTGGGCTGGGTGAGGTCAGACTGAGCTGGCAGGGGAGTGCTCCATTTGTCCTGGTGGACAAGCTTCCACTCGTGCCATCACACCTCATTACTGCCATGTTTTTATACCAAATTAAAACAAAAGTACAGTGAATATCTTATAACCTAGTCATTTCACCTGAGGTTTTCACCAAGAGATCCACACACTAAAAAGCCATCTGGATAGTTTTTATGTTTCCTCGTTATATAAAATAATGTCTCCTCGGGGGTGAAGGGAGTTGTTGCAAGCTAGAGTTATTAAGTTGGCTTGGCTTTAGGTTTGCTGGGACCTGCTGAGATACTCCTTAACCGCATTCCACATTGGTAAGAATAGTAGACGGAACCACATAGTTTGACATGTTTAACCTTTGCCCATCACTTAAACTAAATTTGAACTCCTTTTTGCAGCTTTGATATTTACCTCAGCTCTCTACTCAGTAAACCTCAAATCCAGGTGCAGGTAGGACAATAGCACACTAAAATATTTGTTTCCTATCCAAAATGTGGTCCTGAAATGTAAGCATTAATTGTGAGTGGAGTCAGGCTGATATTTTCTCCTGGGATGTTTTTGGCCATCATTGAGGAGGAAGGATGAAAAGAAGACTGGAGAGGAACGAGATATTTTTTTGTTTGTACATAACTTTATAGACAAGGTAGCTGAGGGTTTGTTTGTTTTTAATCTCATCCCTAAAAAGAATAGGGGGGAATCTCAGGAACCTCATCTATAAAGTAAGGTAAACTAAATCCACTTTCCCTCAAAACCCAGAATTTATCCCTAATTCACAAAAACAGCCAAAATTCTCTCCCCACTTTCAGGTAGGATGGGATTGCTCCTCAAAAATAAGGAACGGTGATTTTCACCCACCAGTAGATGTAAAACTCTGCAGTAGTATGAAGAGTCTGCAGTATTATTTGTTTATGGTATTTATTTATAAACTCTTATTATGCATTTTCATTCCAGGAACGCGCACTCAAGGTGGATGCTATGATTTCATTATATTGTGTAGGGGAAATTGTAAGGCGGTTGGTCACAAGGAGACAAGGCATTATGACTTTTTTTTTAACCAAATGATTTAAAGTTTCTGCCTTGCCAGTGTTCAGACTTGTGTGATTTGCTTTATAAAGGTCACATTTACATGGTGCATGTCCTGCCCTTGGGGCATACGTGAGGAGACCACACAGACACAAATGAGACACATAGGCCCATAATAGTCTTGATTTACCGTATTTTTCGCTCTATAAGACACACTTTTTCCCTCCTAGAAAGTAAGGGGAAATGTGTGTGCGTCTTATGGAGTGAATGAAGGCTGCGCAGCTATCCCAGAAGCCAGAACAGCAAGAGGGGTTGCTGCTTTCACTGCAAAGCGATCCCTCTTGCTGTTCTGGCTTCTGAGATTCAGAATATTTTTTTTTCTTGTTTTCCTCT